AGGCTGCCCAGGGAAGTGGTTGAGTCACCATCCCTGGAAGTATTTAAAAGACGGGTAGATGAGGTGCTTAGGGACATGGTTTAGTGGGCATGGTGGAGTTGGGTTGACGGTTGGACTCGATGATCTTGGAGGTCTCTTCCAACCTTAATGATTCTATGATTCTATGATTCTATATATTCTACTTGCACACAATTTGCAGGCAGAAAAAGAGGTAGCAGTCAATTGAGCTCAGATGTCTCGTAATCCTACTAGAGGGAAGGGCTAGCCAGGTACCTAGAGCAGATGGCCTGACGCTAGGGCGTTGGGAAGGGAAGAAGTATCCGTGAAAAAACGGCAACGCTGGTTGGACACCAGGGATGATGATATCGCATTGATTGTTTCACTGTAGCTGTGGGAGTCAGCTGCTAATGCCTTAGAGGCCGCAGATATCAATGTGGAGTAGTGCACGGTAAGTATGGTCTCTAGGCTACAGGTACTGAGTTGTTCCAGAATAGGCAGTAGTGCTAATTCTAAATATATGGATGTAATGTTTCTTGTGCAGTCATGATTATTTGACATAATATGATGATTTATCCATATTTAACACAACACACACACACCCCGCTCCCCAGATTTAAAAAATCATGGTATTTTTATAATATCTTCTCAAATATGCTGTCATACGGATTTTGAAATGGCGTACCTTGATTACTTATCCATGGCTCCATGCTTCTGCATGAGAAATTGTGGTTTGAAATAATAAAAGAGGTCTTAAATGAACATGTTATTAATGATACTGATCCATCCAGTTAGTTTTAACTCTTTCTTTCTACAATTCACCTTCTGGTTTCTCTGCGAGCATGGGGATAGATATGAGTGGTTTTATTTTTCTTTAATTAAAAAAAAAATCATTTAATGGGCACTGCCATAACAAAAGACGTATTGAAATTTGAAAATTTAATTTTATGGGAAAATACCTCCGTGTTTTCACTATATACATTGGATTTCCTCTTTGTTTTTTCCTGTAAGGAAAGGCTATCTAGGTGATCGCAAAATGAATAAGTTCATTACACTGGGCAGAAAAAAAACCCCAAACCCAACCAAAGGAAAACAACCCAAAGCTTTGTTTAGATAAGAGATCCGATAGTGGTGGTGATTCTTGATGAAATAAATCAAATTTGTTTCTTCTTTACTAGTATTTTAAGTTAGCTCCTCCTTTGAAGGAATAATTTTATTAAATGTGTATCAGTTAAATAGATTATATCACTAGTTTCTCAAATAGAAGTCCTCCAAAATGAAGAAGATGATTAAGCCAATCCTAGTTTCTGAAGCTAAAAGGGGTAATGTGACTTTATATGAATCAAACCTTGGAAGAAATTCTCAGAAAGTACATTAAGTCTCCCAGCCTGCATGAAATTTTATTTCCTTTGCAGGGCACTTCAAATAAAGTTATGGATGATGGATGCCTTGCATTTTTTTTACTGTTATCTGTCTCTGACCATTTAATTGAGGTTGGAAATTCCCGTATTTCACATACCTATTAAAAGTTTCTTAACAAAGACCAGAGCCTTCTCAGTTATTAGGCTACTACCCAAACAGCCCAGTCCTCAAATTACTAACAGACCACAATGATTCCTTTAAGGCGACCAGTGACTAAATACAAATTATGCTGTAATAGCGGTATGATTGTGCTAAAGTAATTGAATTTGCCTGCATCTTTTCAATTTCTTGGCTGATTAATTGTGAGGCAGGGGGAAATGTTTCATTCGGATGAGTGTTCTTGGGAGATCCAAATGAACAAATCCAAAAATACCTGTGGTCGCTTTGACCCTGGAAGCATTATCACAGTTGCTATTTCCATTCCCAGAATTAAGACCTTAGTTGCTCTGTCACAACAATCCTTGAGATTTTGTTAACATCAAGAGCAACTGACTACCCCACCTACAGTGCACACCCAACTGCTTTTGTAACCAGATTATCGCAGTTTTATCCAACTTGATTACTACAAAGCAGAGAAAACACCTGTTTCTCTATTTGACAGCTTTTTTTTTTCATAATGCATAACTTTGCATTTTATAAAAAGCTCCATGCCAGGCTGGTGTGATGCCATCTAGCAGCTATTTTGTACCAGCGTGTTTGCCAGGAGTCTTGCCAGGGGTTCTCTTTT